TCCGGGCGCACGCGCGGCGGAGACCCGTGTAGCCCCACGGGAGCTTCGCCGACTGCGCTGGCGACGGGAGCTGCAGCACAGCGCGAAGCGCGAAGGCACGGGCAGCCCGAGAGGGCTCGCGGCGCCTCCGAGCTGCCAGGCATGCAGAGGGGGCCCTCAGGGCGAGCACTCGGTCCAGGAGTGCAGGGTCGACCGCGGGCCCCAGGCACTCAGAGCGCTTGCGACCTCCGCGCTCCTCGGCAGCCGGCCGGCACGCCACTCCTCACAGCCCTCCAGCTCCCTCAGCACAGTCTGGGCCAGCATGCGGAACGTGGGCTGGGCCTTCCTGCCCTTTGGCGCGGCGAAGTCACACACGAGGCTCAGGACCGCCCCCCTGTGCTCGGCGGCCAGCTGCCCCGCCTCCTCGCCCAGGCGACCCTTCTCGCTGTTCACGAGGACCCACACCGCGACCCTGCCGAACAGGGCCTGCCTGTCCGCCCCGCACATCAGCTCGCTGCTGCTGGGAAGCTGCAGGCCCAGGTCCCGCGCGCCGTCGAGAGGCAGCTCTGGCAGGCGGGCCTCCGCCCCGGGCGACGAGGAGCCACCCCGACCACAGCCTGACGCCTCTTGGGGGGAGGGGGGGGGCCAGATGCACACCTGCATCGAACCCGGCCAGGCCCATCCTGGGCCCAGAACCTCCTCCTCCTCCTCCTCCTCCTCCTCCTCCTCTTCGTCTTCTTCCTATTCTTCTTCTTATTATTATTCTTGTTCTTCTTATTATTATTATTCTTACTATTAATATTCTTCTTAATATTAATATTCTTATTATTATTATCATTATTATTATCATTATTATTATTAGTATTCATCTTATTATTATTCTTCTTAGTATTATTATTATTCTTCTTCGTCTTATTAGTATTCTTCTTATTATTATTATTCGTATTATTCTTCGTATTATTCGTCTTATTCTTCTTATTATTATTATTATTAGTAGTAGTATTATTATGATGGTTATTATTAACATTATTATGAATATTACTCGTATTCTTGATATTATTCGTATTATTCTTATTATTCCTATTATTATTATTATTATTCTGATTAGTATTATGATTGTTGTTGTTCTTATCACTATTATTATTCTTCTTGATATTAAAGGTTGTTTTCGCCTACATATTTTATTATTATTAGCATTATGATTAGTATTAGTAGTATTATTATTATTACTATTAATATTGTTGTTAGTATTACTATTATTATTATTCGTACTCTTCTTCTTATAAATATTATACTTATTTTTCATTAGTAGTATTATTCGTACTCTTATTATCAGTATGCTTAGTATTAGTCGAATTCTTCTTTTTAGTAGTATTAATCTTCTTATCCGTAGTATTAGGAGTCGTTGCATTAGCCTTAGTATTCTTATTAAATTGCTAGTATTGTTCTTATTCTTTGTATCAGTATTATTCGTATTATTATTCTTCGTATTAGTAGTATTATTCGTTGTCGTTTCCATGGTAGCATTATCAGTACTACTCTTCTTAATACTATTACGGTTATGTTTATTGTTGATACTCTTAGTGTTGATAGTAGTAGTCTTACTACCTTTCTTATTAATATCATCATTGTTAGTAGTATTCGTACTCTTATGTTTCTTATTATTATGCTCATTATTCGTATTATTACTCTTAGTATTATTACTATTATTATTCGTATCACTTCGTTGCTGATTATTAATAGCATTATTATTATTGTTGGTATTGATATTAGTATGCGGCTTATTATTGTTATTATTCCTCTTCTTCTTCTTCCTCCTCCTCCTCCTCCTCCTCCTCCTCCTCCTCCTCCTCCCCTCGCCTCTTCGTGGACAGGCACGCGGCCAGTTCTCGACACCCCAGGCGCGCGCTGACGTGGACCTCTCGCGGGAGGGCCCGCTGCCTCTCCGCCGCCCTCTCCGCTGGCGGCGTCCGCCGCTGGCAGCGCCGCCCTCGTTTTGCTTCTGCCAGCCTTCCTCTTCATGCTGGTCGCGCGGCTCCCTGCCGCGTGAGGCCCGAGGGTCATCAAGTTGCATGTGCGAGTCGGACAGGCAACCTTCTCCCTTTTCTTTGACATGACTTCGCCACTCTCCCCCCCCAGACCCCGACGCCATGATTTTTTCATGATGTGACTCCCCTGGGACCGATTTCTCGCCCTGAATCGTTCTTTGACGGCCCCGAGGCCCAGTGAGGGCCCCTGGAGGCCGAAAACAATGAAAAACTTGCAAGGGCCAATCATCACTGGTCCCCTTCCCAGCCACTCTCCCCGCCCGCCTGGAGTGACCCGGAGAGCGTGTGTGCATGAGGGGGAGGGGAAACAATAGGGGCGGATAGTTATAGGGGGGAAACATGGACCTCGAGTGGGCGATGCATCTCCGATAGATCGGCGACAGGCCCCCGATAGTGAATCCGCACCTTCCTGGGCAGGCTGGGGCTATCTGGCCCATGTCAGCGATCCATGGGCAACTGGGGGTCGATGCATCCCCCCCGTATGCCTACCCCCCCCCCCAATGGTTGCCCCCGAGTGCACCCCAATCCCCATACACCCGGCGTCTCGAGTTCTTCGAGGCACGAGCCCCCGACCTCCCGACCACTTCCCCGGGACCGGTCTCTCATCCCGAGTCGTTCTTGACGGTCCCGAGGCCTGGCGAGGGCCCCGAGGAGGCCCAAAACTACGACAAACCCCCGCCTCGATCTCTTCGAGACGCCCGACGTCTGGGCCCTGGGAGTGGCCCAGCGAGCGTGCGCGCCCCACTCCTGGGCCCCAGGCAGGCCTGGCCGAGCTCGGCCCCCCCCCACCCTTACAAGCCTGGAACATATCCCTATCCCTATGCTGGGCACCTCCTCATCACGATGCCAATCTTAGGGATTCCCTTATTTTTTGAGGGCGAATCCCCAAGATTGTCATCGCCTTTTGGCGTGTCAATCTTAGGGATAGGGATAAAATTCGAGGCTGGTAACACCCGGCCTCGGGCGAGGCGGAGCCGTCCCGGTCGCCGCGCGGGCCCCGCGCAGCGGCCCGGGGCGACGTCGAGCCGTCCTGGCCGCCGCGCGGGTCGCTCTCGCCGCCCGCGAGCGCGCGCTCGATCGCCTCCACGTCGGCGGCTCCTCCGTCGAGCCAGGCGTGCGACTCGGACAGCTGCCGGAGCAGCGCCCTCGCCTGCGCACGGAAGACCGTCTTCCTGAGAGGAAGGGGAAGACCATACAACATTCAGCTTTGAAAGGTGCGCGCGGATTCCTTGAAGATGCGCTGGATCCCCCCCTCTGGAGGGTTCCAGCGCAGATCCGATAAATCTGCGCGGATCTTCAAGAGCCTATGTTCGTACCGCCTCTTTCTTTTATTCGGCTCCTCCCGCAGAAGCCACACAGGAAGACGAAGATGCTCCCCCGGTACGCGGGCTCCTGAGGGGCAACTAGGGGGGGCGGCTCAGGAGGGGAAGTATCGACCTGGATTCGGCAATGCATCGCCGATAGATCGGCAATGGGCCCCCGATAGCGAATCTGCACGCTCCTGGGCGGGACGGGCTTTCAGGCCCCTACCGGAGATCAGCAGGCGATTGGGGGTCGATGCATCTCTCCCGGAGCCTGCCTACGGTCGGGAACCTTTGCTCACTGTGTCGCGGCGGCGGCCCTGGCGACACGCTGCGCCCCGCGAGCTAGTGGCGTGTCGCTCCGCTCCGCGGGGCGCAACGCTGGGAACGATAACGATAACAACGATAACAACGATAACAACGATAACAACGACAACGATAACGATAACAACCATAACAACGATAACAACGATAACAACGATCAACGATACCAACGATAACAACGATAACAACGATAACAACGATAACAACGATAACAACGATAACAACGATAACAACGACAACGATAACGATAACAACCATAACAACGATAACAACGATAACAACGATCAACGATACCAACGATAACAACGATAACAACGATAACAACGATAACAACGATAACAACGATAACAACGATAACAACGACAACGATAACGATAACAACCATAACAACGATAACAACGATAACAACGATCAACGATAACAACGATAACAACGATAACAACGATAACAACGATAACAACGATAACAACGATAACAACGATAACAACGATAACAAC